TGAAGATAAATACATTCAGAAAAGAAATCAGACGATTGCTGCAACGAAATATTAAGCAATAATAATAGTAATAATGCAAAGAAAGTAACATTCACGTTGTCAGGAGTATGTCTATTATAGAATACTTTGATCAATTAACTTCTTATTTTTTTTCCAACGTCTCAAAAAAATAGACAACTAATATTTATAAATAAAAGTAAAAGATAATTTCAAAAAAAAAAAAAACAGATCAGAAAACATCTTTACAGCCAAAGCCCTTTTACTTAGGGGAGATGGTGTTCAAACTGGGTTGCACCGGGTCAGGGATCCATTTTCAGGGACCCCGAGAGGATGTCACTCATGGCAGACATGGGTGGATCCCTGATTGATGTGGCATCATGAACACAGCACAGACACATCCAGCCCAGGGTGAAACCCGTCTCTCCTGAAGCCGCAGTGCGCATGGTCAGAGAGTACCGCATAGCTCAGCTCACAGTACCGCATAGCTCACACCCTGTTAAGCGCCCTGGAACCCGGGCCGCTCTTCTCGTCCATCATCCGGGCATCTGACGTGAGCCTTCACCCCTCCTCCTCTGCTCTTCCTGCAGGTTTTGTTCAAGCTCCTCCTGGGCAGCGCTAAGTTTGGAGAAGCCGCCTTATTTTTGTCCATTTTGGGCGTATTTAACATCCTCTTCATCACCTGCATTCCTGTCATCCTCTACTTTACCAAAGTGGAGTACTGGAGCTCCTTCGGTGACATTCCCTGGGGAAACCTTTGTGGATTTTCAGTTCTCTTATTGAGTAAGTGGCCGTCGCCCTGCCCAGAATCCCCAGAGAGCCATGACTGACAGGGCCTCCTTGGAAACCCTGTCCCTGAAGGAGAAAAGCAGTGTGTATTGTGATTCCGGAGTTCTCGTTGCTTTTCAAGATCTGTGTGTTTCCCAAAGTAGTCTTCGGAATAACGACACTGGATTCTCATTCTAGAACCAGATTCCCCATAGTTGTGACACAGCCGCTGCTCTGAATGGTGGACTCATAACCCTTGTAGGTGGCCGGGTAGGGACAGCCATGCAGGGGCTCAGACAGGCCACAGGCCACCCCGGGGAGGGACAGCCATGCAGGGGCTCAGACAGGCCACAGGCCACCAGACACAGAAGCTA